ACCTCCAGAGGCTCTAATCTTTTTTTTTTTTTTTTTTTTTAGACAGAGTCTGTATTGCCTGGGCTAGAGTGCCGTGGTGTCATCCTAGCTCACAGCAACCTCAAACTCCTGGGCTCAAGCAATCCTCCTGCCTCAGCCTCCCAAGTAGCTAGGACTACAGGCATGCGCCACCATGTCCGGCTAATTTTTTCTATATATTTTTAGTTGTCCAGCTAATTTCTTTCTATATTTAGTAGAGAAGGAGTCTCACTCTTGCTCAGACTGGTTTCGACTCCTGAGCTCAAACAATCCGCCCGCCTCAGCCTCCCAGAGTGCTAGGATTACAGGCGTGAGCCACCGCGCCCGGCCCAGAGGCTCTAATCTTAAAAGTATAGTCGAATTAATAATAGTTCTCATTTACTGAGGACGTACTACAATATGCAAGCACCATATATAGCCAATTTCTGTCCTTGATGCCAGATTCTTCAGCTCCTACAATATCCTGAGAACCTGGCTCGCTCTCTTCCATACAACATACTGGGCCCTTACTGTTAAGTCCTATATACTTGAGAAATCGGACCATACCTAAAGAACCTCCACTATTGTATTACCCAGGAGCTCTCAGGCTTATCTACTTGCAGTAGTCATGCAGACCATGTTAGGTCATATTCTGGTTAATCCAAAGAACCACTATTACGACCTTCTCTTTTCCTCTTAAGTATTTCAAGGAGCCTATTACCAGCATTACAAAATAGAAAACCTGTTTATTGCCTTCAAAGTCTAGTCAAAAATAAAAAAATAAATAAAAAATTAAAAAAAAAATAGAAAACCTGTTCAGTATAAAATAGAAAGTGTAATATTATGAGTCTGTTCACCTAAACTCTGTTCCTGGTTCTGTTAATTTGAGTTCACTCTTTAAATCTAGTTTCTCCATATATAACATGGATATCATATTAATGGTTATCAGTCTTCCAAGGAGGTTCAACAATTAAAGAAAATATCTACAAAATTATTTAACTCCTTTAGAAAAATGAGAGATATATAATATACATAAAATATAAGACATACATTTTATTCATCACATAACAAACGTCTTAACACAACTCACTGGAGATAAAGTTTTTCTCAAATATCAAGCAGAATGCAGAGCTCTGCAAATTAACTAATATCCAATAAATGAACCTCATATGTTCTTACATTACGTAAATAGAAGTTGCTGTGTTATTCCTCTCTTTTAAAGTAGCTGGTTTCAGACAAATTAAGGCCTTTACAAAAATTCAGTAGAAATTCAAGTATGCCATAAGAATAAAATTCAGAATAAACAGTCATCATATAAACCACAACATTTATACACTTTTATTAAAATGAGATTTAATTTGGTATTTATCATTTCAAGGTACCAAATGTTTCAATTAATTAACACCACCACAATTTGAAATAGCCTATTTCATCTAAGGAAATAAAGTGGCTTTCAGTACAATTAGAAGCTAAGTCAAGTCGTTAAGGAAATGGCAGGGCATGGCAATAACAGCTCCTTAACAGTTTACCACAGCGTTAGGAAACCCTTGAAGACTGCCTATCCAATCCATTTCTATTTGTTCATATATATTTTGATGCAGTGGGAAAGAGGGAGAACTAAATTCTCTTGGCACTAAGTTTTGTGTTGTCAAGGATGGCTGAGAGGCAAACTGACTTCATATGTGAACTCTCTTTCAACTACTGGATTAAGGGTAAAGTATAAAAATTTTCAATCTGCTAAAGAAAAAATTTGTGGCCGAAGAGAATCGTAACAATATAAACTCAGTTTTACTTCATTTTTAAAGGAAAAGAACTAATCTGTTTCAGTTTGAACTAATTTAATTTGGCATATGATAGCATCAGTTGTAGAACACAAACCAAACTAAAGAGCTATCATAAGCCACTCTGATGTCCACTTTACAAAGCATAGTATAAATAAAGCAAAAAACTGAATAGAAACATTATCAGTAGAAAGAGTGTGAAACACAATTACCACAGATCACTGAAAACATTTTTAAAAATTAGGGGATTTAAATATAACAGATATAAGCATACATGTGATACTCAAGATAAGTCATCAGCATGAGACCCAAGGTCCGAATTCTGCCTCTGTCACTTATTTCTCACGTGGAACTGCTTTCTCTTCAAATCTAAGAGCCCAGTATCTTTTTTTTTTTTTAAATACATAGGTTTTCCTTAATCTCTCCTCTTATTCTACCTCCTAACTCCCATCACCCAGTGTTAACCAAATTTTCCTGCATGTTCTGTCTGACATTCTCTTCCTAAATACAACAATTAAAATAAGCTACCCTTAAACATATCCCTCTATTCTAAAACATCTGATCAGAGGACCCAACTGTAACAGGATACTGCAGTAAGACAATGCTTCTCTAGGAAAGGATGACGGCACCCCTCTACATCCTCCCTAAGAGATCTTGGATGTTCCTAAGAGGTGGTGAAGAATGGAGCAGTTAAAAAAACAAACACATAGTTTTCTTTTCTTAAATGTGTCTCCTTCCTTGAACTCTCCTAACCTCCACTCTATCCTTAACACTCCAAAAGCATGAATACCTGCCTCTTTCCCTATATCCTACTTCTCACTCCCAGGGTCCACAAAGGAAACAGGCATCAACAAGGCTGAAATTCTAGAACAGATTCTGGTGTTGGCAGCAGAGAAAGACACTAGGAATGAAGTGTAGATTGCTCTTGTTTTCATTAATGGACAATGGAAGTTGAGTACCTAATTAAGTAGTGGAAAGGTTCTTTGGGAGATCTTTGCAAGATCTCAGCACACTAAACGTAAGGATAAAAAGAGGGAATTTTTAGGCCGGGCACGGTGGCTCACGCCTGTAATCCTAGCACTCTGGGAGGCCGAAGCAGGCGGATTGTTTGAGCTCAGGAGTTCGAGACCAGCCTGAGCAAGAGCGAGACCCCCCGTCTCTACTAAAAATAGAAAGAAATTATCTGGACAACTAAAAATATATAGAAAAAATTAGCTGGGCGTGGTGGCACATGCCTGTAGTCCCAGCTACTCGGGAGGCTGAGACAGAAGGATCGCTTGAGCCCAGGAGTTTGAGGTTGCTGTGAGCTAGGCTAATGCCAGGGCACTCACTCTAGCCAGGGCAACAGAGTGAGACTCTGTCTCAAAAAAAAAAGAGGGAATTTTTAAATATTATAAGACTCCTTCTCACTTTATCATTTTCCACAAAAGGTTATCATTAGCTAATAGCATAGCTTTGGAATAACCTGTTTTATCTTTTAAGCCTCAATTTCTTCATCTGTAAAATGCTGATACCAATAACACTTTCACCTTACAGGGTTATTGTGAGGATTGAATGAAATAACACATGCACGGCTAATAGCACAATGCCTGGCACACAGGAAGACTAAAAATGTTAACTTAAAGGAAACTTGAAGGGGCGGGGCATGGTGGCTGATGCCTATAATCCCAGCACTCTGGGAGGACAAGGTGGGAGGATTGATTGAGGTCAGGAGTTTGAGACCACCCTGAGCAAGAGCAAGACCCCGTCTCTCCTCAAAAATAGAAAAAAAAAATTAGCTGGCCAACTAAAAAATAGAAAAAATTAGCTGGGCCTGGTGGCACCCAGCTGTAGTCACAGCTACTCAGGAGGCTGAGGCAGGAGGATCACTTGAGCCCAGGAGTTGAGGTTGCTGTGAGCTAGGATGACGCCACAGCACTCTAGCCCAGGCAACACAGTGAGACTCGGTCTCAAAAAAAAAAAAAAAAAAAAAGACCAGCCCGAGCAATATAGTGGGGGAGGCGGGAAGATGCTGGAAAAACTGAACATTAACATGCGAAAGAATAAACT